CCCAGGGAAACATAAGGATTATTGATATAAGCATAAAACTTGGGCACTGGGGTAAAGTATAACTCCATTAGGGATAAAAGTTGTTATTTTGATCATGTTGCACAGTGTTATACAGTAATATTTACTGATTACGACGTTTCGAGCAAAATTTATTGCCACTCATAATCATATCAAGGCACTACTCACACAACTTTTTACTTCATTTATATACATGAGTGAAATTGATTAAACATTTGGATACAACTAATATAAGACGAGTGTTTTTAGTCAATAAGATGGGGAATAAAACGTTTTCATAATAAAAATAAATAACTTTTATTTATTAAAGATTATGAGTTGTGTGCAGCTGATGAAAACCTATGAAATAAAATGAATCCATGTTATTCTGCACTAATGTCTGTTCTTTCTTTGCTCAATTTTATAAAAAAAGAATTCTTATATGAAATGCATCTGACTCTATGGCTGAGGGTCTTCACCAAGCATTTTTTACACTGGAGAAAACAAAACATGACAGTTGTGCGTCGATGGAACAGTGGTTAGGACTCTCGCCGACCATGCACATGGTCAGGGGTTTGATCCCCTGCCGACGCACACATGATATCTATAGTCGGCCTGCAAAATTTGGGCTACCGATATCACATGCTGAAAATTCCATACTTGTACTGAAAGTACGGTGTGGAATCAAGCTGTAATCAAAAATTTAAAAAAATTAATAGTAGTATTCATTTAATAATTAGGATCATATGAATGCACAACCTGATGACAGATTTACTGAGAAGATTATTCTTTGTTCATTCAATAGTCTTTTAAGCTTTTAATGGGCATCTTCAATGAATCATATTCTATTCAAATTAATGCATAGAAAAAAACTTGAAAATCTTACAATTTGATTTGTTTGGGACGTTTTTGAGTGATATTTTCCTGATGTTATTGCGTTCACTAAGCTAGATGGTCCAGATTCGATGCTCGTATTGTCTTCACGATAAAGTTAGAGCTGAAGACAATGAACACTTTGCTAATGAACCATCCAACTCTGTCTGATAACACAACAGTATCTACTTCAAGTGGCAACTGCCTCCTTTATTTCAAGAGTTTACAACTGGACAATGCTTCAGTCTTCAATAGTTGGTTTCTAAGGATCAGATTTCTTTTTACGAGTTGATTACGGATTGATATCAGTTAGAGAACCATTGAAAACCAGCATTGGAGTACTGGACAGCTGTTTCATCCTAGTTTGAGAATCATCGATAGTAACTCCATGATGGATAAGATTTTATTTTGGTAAATCACACAGTGTTTGTTATACAGTAATATTAACTCATGACGTTTCGAGCACAAACTATCGCCACTCATAATCATATCAAGTTACTCACAAAACTTTTTCCTTGATTTATATATATGTATGGAATTGACTAGATATTTGAATAAAAATCAATATGAGTTAATGTACATTCATAGATAATAATATGAGTGTTGTTGATCAATTACAATCAAATGGGAAATAAGACGAGTGTTTTTATAGTCATAATGAGTAACTTGTTAGGATGTTGTAATGTAAGTGAACTGAAATGGAATTTTAAGATTATTTATTATCCTCTTCTGATTTGACTGGTGGCAATAATATCTTCCATATCTCTAGTATTTGCGTTGAGTGAGTCACTTCTATTGCATGTGATGGGTGTAGATTCAATGAACCAGGATTCAGTAATCAATATCTCTCTCCACCTACATAGATTACTTCTTAGAATCTTAACCCTCTCCCACCCTAGTGTGTGGTTGTGTGTTAATGTATGCAGTGGGATTGCTGAGCTTTTTTCTACATTACTTATCTTCTCTGGGTCAACCATTCTAACCTTGGCTAAATTTTAATGTTCCGACAATCTGATTACCCCCGATCTACTAGTTTGACCTATATAGTTGACCTCACAGTCATTACAAGGTATTTTGTAACTTGATATGATTATGAGTAATAATTTATGGACGAAACGTCATCAGTTAATATTACTGTGGAACACTGTGTGATTTATCAAAGTAAAATCTTATCCTTAATGGAGTTACACTCTACCACAGTGCCCAAGTTTTATACTTATATCAATCATCGGCAGTACTCACCCATCACAGGGGTTCGAACCCAGGAGCTTCCGGTTACAAGGCAAGCTCGTATACTATTCAGCCACTGGGACACGATTCAGTGGCCAGCCCATGCATTCTAACTTCTACCAATTCGTCATTTAGCGCGACCACCAAACAATATCATCGGTGGGAAAATCATCCTCACACTTGACTGATTAGACCTCACTGGTCACTGTCGAAGATTCCCAAACAGCTATCCAGTACTCTAGTGCTGGTTTTCAATGGTTCTCTAACTTATATCAATCCGTAATCAACTCACAAAAACAATATTTCAGTCTGTTCTAATAATGTTTTTTTTTGATATTGTAAATTAGCTGAATTCAAGGAATCCGTGTAAATCAATTTTAAAACTGATTAAATTCTGTCATGTCTACTATGAGGTGGTTCTAAAGGTTGTGGACTAGACATAAAATGAGATTTTAAATATAACCTGATATAATTGTGAATATACATCACTAATCTGAGTAGATCGCCTCACATTACAAATATTGTGACATGTGATCAAGCTGTATGAGAGAAATATAAAACATATTACACATAGTTATAGGGACGATGTAGTTAGTGTTTATCAAAAAATCCTTTTTAATAAAATTTAAATTCACAGCGTATGATTATCTTCAGTAACAATATGAATAAGTTAGCAGATAGCAGCAGATCGGTGCTGATCTGTAGGAAGCCGCAAAACTAGGTTTCACCCTCATTGGCACTCTTCAGCAAGGGTGTATCAGCCAACTTGAAGCAACTGATGCAAACTCTGAGATTGGAATCCATGACATCGACAGCTGCAGGCAGTTACAAGCATTATCACTGCTTATCTATTTGGGCCTAGAACTGAACTACTGTGAGAGTGTTATGATTGAAATGGCTGGTCTCTGGACTGTAACCGGTGTCATATGTCTAATATTCACTGGTTGTAACTGAAGTCAAGTTACCATTAAGATCAATGTTGTAGGAGTCAAGAGACTTTGCAATTGAATTTGTTATACATATATATAGGACACACCTGCTCCTACTTAATTCAAGATGTCATACCTGTTTATTTTCCTTGCCAGCCTTCCATCCATTTTACCTTGAAGAGTTTTACAACATTTTATTATATTCTATTTACTTCATTATATCGATTTTTACAACTGAGTATGCATGGTGGAGACATAAGATTAGACAACTCGTACTGTTAAGCAATAATCCTGTGTTCTTGAAATGTCTATCTTGGCGGCTACCTAAGAACTCTTAGTGAAGATTAGTTTTTGTGATGTTTACAAAAGGCTACTCGGGAAAAAGTGTCTGACGTTAGGACTACTGAAATTAGTGAGTTGACGGCTGAATGATAGGATGTTCACCAGCCACGTAGAAGTTTTGGCCTCCGTTTGGCTGACAGCCTCATTCCAAAAATGTATAATACCATCACTAATGAAACTTTAAACCCTGAAGTCTTCTTTGTATATGATGGAGAAGATTTGTAGCTCAGGTGGATGATTTTGATGTGGTTGTGTTCGCTGAGCTGGATAGTTAATGTACGAAGCTTTCATCACCCTACTAGGTGAAATCTTCAGCGCATACTTCAATTTGAAGTGAGCTTTTAGATTTCTCTACGAGTTTATTAATCATCTCTCCCGGTGACCTGGTTTGAACGTGATTGGTTATTTTTGTGCGTTTTCACACCTTCTAGGCTACTTATATTAAAAGTGATTGTTTCTTTGACTTGAAATTTGACCCTTTGTGTGTGAGGTCTCTTTCTTATTGGTTGATAAATTTTGTCAATCTCGATGTGTCTATTGATTGATGATTCACTGGAATGCCAAGCTTCTAAAAAAATTCTCTAGCATTTTTGTTGTTTCCTGTTGCTAATATTTGAATGTTGTCTCAATCGAATTGATGCCCGTGGTTGTCTGTATGTAGCGACATCAGGGAGTGGATGTAATGTCTTTTGACAGCTAGCTTATGTTCGTGGATACGAAGACGAAGGGGACGTCCACTTTGACCAATGTAGTATTTTTCGCAGTTGTTACAATTTATCTTGTAGATGATGTTGGTTTTATCTTCTTTCGCTGTTGTGTCTTTTGGCTGACACAGAGCCAGCTGAGTGAAGTGATTTTGTTGGTTTGTGTGCGACGTCAATTCTTAAAGGTTTGACGAATCTTGCAGTTATTTCTGATATATTCTTTATATTTGGCAGGGCAGCTTTCTTTGTGCTTTCCTTGGGGGCTTTTGGTTTGATAGGTTGACTTGGGGGTATATGTCTTTTGATGAAATTCCTTGGATATCCATTTTTGTGAAAGACGTCCATGAGATATCTCTCTTCAATTTTTCTTAAAGTTGGAGTGCTGCAATGAGTCCTTGCCCTCTGTGCAATTCCTTTTGTGTGTTATTGGAGTGTTACTGTTATAATTCAGTATTTGATCTGTGTGATTTGATTTTCTATAAACATGGGTTTCTAATTCCCCTGTGGTTGTGCGCTTGACTAAGACGTCCAAAAATGGGATTTTGTTCTCGGATTCCTCTTCTCTTGTTACTGATCTATGCTGTAAAGTAGAAATCCTATTATTACCGCTATATGGAAAAGATTAAAAATATGCCACTTTCGAAAGATAACACCAAACGCATGACCTTATAAACTCATGAATTTATACAACTAGAAATTTTCAAAAAAGTTAATTACAATTTAAAGCTTTGATAGCTACTTAAGTGTTGTCGATTCATGGCACAGTCTTGAAATCATCCATCCATTCCCATGGAAACTTTACAAATGCATTTCATCATGCAAAAAATCACTTCAACTGATTCCGTTTTAGATAAATATTTCTTAAATCCATTATATTGTATACCAGGTGACCAGCTTTATTTTTCTGTTTCTTTTTTCCATTCAGATAAGTGGAAAGCATCTCTCTCGCAGAAAATATCAACCAACAAAATACCAATTACATATCAAGTAGAAAGTTATCTCTGAAGTCCCTCTCGTTTGTGAGGAGTGTTTTTTACCTGCTGATTTCTTTGTTCTCTCTGTCACAAATGGAAACATATATTTGTCCAAGCGATAGACAATTAGCATTACGCGCAAGGTAAGTCATCCTTTTATCCTTTGTATCCCTCCTTTCAATTATTTATTAATGGTTTATCCTGTAAATAAGAGATGATGTCATTGATATGTAGGTAGTGTACACATTTTCCTCGCAGTTTATGATGTCAGGCAGCAAAAATCAAAAACGGAACAACAACAAAAAAGAACAATTAAGAGACCATTCATTTTGTCGGGGGTTTATACCGCTTCCTTGTTATGGTGTGTCTTTTGTCTTCTCATTTAAACGTTTCTGTCTTCATGAGATAATATATATCTATTGCATTTCGGTAAGCAACATTTCCATTAGATAGAAAATTAACATTTTCCTCTATAACCTGGATGAGTCTATGGAATTGGACAGGAAACCAAAAAACAATGAGGAACAGCATAAAGGCCCTGGATATGGACTAGTTAAATCATTACGGCGTTTCAGTATAAGAAGTTTCTAGGGGTTAGTTTTTAGGGACTTGATTTGTTTGAAATTTGACAATGGATTGATATCAGTTAGAAAGCCACTGGAAGACTATCGTGGAGTAATGGACAGCTGTTTTGTCCTCGTCTTGGACTATTTGAACGCAGAATCTCCAATCAGCTACCGGGACCCGACTCAGTGGTTCATGAATTCTAAGTATTGACAATTCACGATATTAGCGCAACCACCGACCAATGATATCGGCAAGTATTTCTTTTTGGCTGGACCTCCGTATTCATGACTTATCATTCGAAGTCCAGCCAACCCCGTCCTGTAACCAGTGACTAACGGGGATCAGATTAATTTTCAAGAGTTAGTATGCTCAGGTTTCTTTCGTTTCAAGTCCCAGTGGCTGAATGGTCAATAACCATGCCTTGTGCTCAGAAGGTTCTTGGTTCAAACCCTTGTGGTGAGTGCGTACTGCCCATGAATCCCAAACAGTGGTGAAACAGCTGTTCAGTACACTTCAGTGAATATAAAAAATCTTTAGTATGTAAATCCTTTTGATTCATGATGTCTGACTTTTTGGCTAGGTGACTGTAGATTCTGCAATGCATGTTTTGTTCTACTAAGGGGATGATCAATTGAAATTACCTGGGTCATACTGAGTAATTATCTCTTCTGTGAGATCTGGATGTTTTGTGGATTAGTAAAGGTATTGCTGAGTAGTTGGTTGAGGGATAGAATGCTTACCAGCCAAGCACTAGTCTGGGTTCGCCTACCGGCCCACTAATCCTTAAACCTCACCCAGACTGCTAACCGGTAAAACACCTAGAAAGGAAAGAATTTCGTGTGAGAGGCTAGTAATCACACCTCTTAAAAAAACGGCACTGCTGCTGAGATTTCAAACCTTCAGTTCCTGTGTTCCTCTCAGAACTCAAAAAGTAGGTACTTATTAGGTTGTAAGTAGTTTAAACTATCATGAAATTAAAAGACATAAATGACCACTTCATCTAAAAGATTGAAAATGATATAATGCGGTAGAATAACTGATGACTATTAGTATATCGATACAGCCTTTTAAATGGTGATAGGTTGATAAGATAGATTCACTTACCACAGATTACAATCCGAGAGAGAATTTTAACACTTTTCTCACAATTCAAGTCTTTGTTTCATCATCGCTTATCACTCTAATAGGAAAAACATTTGTCAGTAGTGTGATCACCAAGAGATACCCGATAAATACAGATGAAAACAGTACAAGGAATAGGCATCAGAGAATATCTTTGCCTTTCAGAATGTGCATACCTCAGAAGTCGAGTTTCCAGCAGATGAAATTTATGATTTACATTCATTATCAAGGGCAGAATATAAGTTCTTTGTGTATTCTTTGCAGAAATAAAGAGGAAATATTTCATAAAAATCTCTCCCTCAACCTGAACTAGAATGATTTGTCAAGGTACGTGGTGTCTGTTCGCCATTTTAACGCAAATATACTCACAGCTCAAATAGATAGTCAGCGAAAGTGTGAAGTAGAGGTACTGCAATAAACACATTGCAAAAAACTGCAAACAAATGCTTGTGATTACAATTAAGTCTACGATGAATTACCTCATGAAGCCTCTACGTTGAAAGTTGCTTGTAAGTGGCATTCTGGCTCTTCAGTTTTATTAAACTTTACAAAATATACGCAAACGATGTCACTAACTTTTCTCTTGACCTAATGGGACTAAGTCTGCTTTTTGTTCTTTGAAGTGCTTGCCTTCTGAAAGGAATAAATGACTTTTGAGAAACATTATGTTTTTTTACATGGTGCAGTTACTGGTCTCACGCTGAACTTTCTTTGTTTGCCGAGTTCACTACCACCCAATAAACTAGGCGAGGTTTATGAGTATTTATCTAGGAGAAAGGAACCTGAACAGTTTCTAATGCTTACAAGAATTTTATCATTGAAACACAGACGCATAGGAAAAGGTTATCTCTTAGAAAATTCTTCATTTTACTAAGATTTCAGAGAGGAAACAAAAGAAAATGTTGAATTCTGTATACCTGGTAAAAGTTAGACACTTTGACAGAAATGCTTCAGTCTCACTGAACTGAAATGTGCAGATAAAAGGTTATCCTGCCAAGTGCATTTGACCAAGTTCACAAGGGACAAAGTTGCCTGGAATCCTAGTGAGAAATCATGACCAGTGAGGTCGAACCGGTGAGACTGTCTGGTAATCGCGCTAAAATCACACACAGGTAGAAGTTACTACTTATGAGCTACTGAGTCGAGTTTCAGTGGCTAAATGGTCTCCTTGATACATACCTCGGTGGGTGGGTACAGCTGAAGAGTTCTTAACTAGTTGTGAATAGCTATCCAGTACTCCATGGTCTTCCAGTGGTTCTCTAACTGATATCAATCCGTGATCAAATCTCTACAAACAAACCCTTAAAAAGATAACACAATGTTACATTTAATATTGTCATCGCATTTCATAGTTTAAAGGAAAACGTATTGTAGATTTTTATGATTTTCTGAAAAACAATAAATGAATAAAATAGATTATGGATCAATAGGGATAATAACAAAATGTAATGTAATAGTAGAAAAGTTGGAAATGTTGCAATGTAAGCTAGTTATTCTGGACATTTTATACTTTTCTTCATATTGGATGCTTTCCAAATAAGATATCAGTGTGCCCTCCTATTTGAATATTTTACAATTGTCTCTTTTCCTACTTGGAGAGACTGAATAAATTCTCTTGAAAAATAAGGTTGTTGAACAAACTAAGAAATTCTTAAATGATACTATTTCATGGATACTAAACTAACGTGACTGATTCATTGAGACATCGTCAGAAGCTATGGTTCACAAAGTTCTTTTCAATGAACATTATCCACATGCTTGGAGTCCAGTTCTACATTGAGACTAAACTGATATACGTAACAGGTAATTTCTTAAAAATATAATCATATTAAAAAAGTACAAGTTGTCTTAAAATAAAACAAAATAAAGGTTTTTTTTACAAGGTTATTTCTATAAACAGCTAACTAATATTAGCTTTGAAAACACTGACTTCGATGGACATAGTTAAAAACCAATCATCGACACATCCTACAAATGGGATAATGACTTCAGGATATAAACTTTTCAAAAAACAATGTAACGTGTAGCCTAAACACACTCATGTTTTCATTCATCCAGCTCCAAATGGAGCAGAAGGCTATAGGACTTTGAATTTTCAGTAGCTGTAGCGTCGCCCTTAGTGTTCCTTCTTTCCTGGGATTGCCAGCTGGGAAAGGTGTAGGAGTGCGTCAGCAGGAAGTCGAATGCAGACCACGTGAATGGTTGCAAACCATTCTACTACTACACGATCGACACTCAAATAAATTTATGTTTATATACATATATATATGTTCAAACCAAGTTCACTTTTAACAGTTTGAAAAAAAATTGGACATTGCGTATATGATATTCATTATAATAAAGGTTTTTTGTATTTCCCAATGAATGAAAAACAAAACGATATTGTTGTCTTTACTGACGTGTCACTATTTAATGCTGCTGCTAATAGCTTTATCAAAGTATTATTATTAAACCGGAATTTACAAAATCCACTCAGCTTTATATATAACAACTTAATCAAACATTACTGAGACTCTCAAGCAAAACAACTACCCAAAGAACTTCATCAACAACAAAAAGCACTGACATTAAGTGTGGTCGAAAAAGTATTCCGAAAACATGGACCTCAACAGTTGTCATTCCATATACAGCGGAAACGTCAGACGATATCAGAAGAGTACTTAATAAGTTTGACATCAGAGTTTTGTTCAAAACACCAGACAATTACACTACAAAGCAAAGTTGTGCATGTAAACTACCAACTCCATAAGGATTTTCAGTCTAATTGTGTCTACAAAATAAAATGCTTGGAATGTGATGTGACAAACATCGGACCAACCCTGCCAGAGAGATATGAAGATCAGAAGAAATAAACACCGTAGGGCGTCTGTTCAACCACCGAGGAATTCAGTTGAACTAGAAAAGCTTGAAAAATCATCAGCCGTAGCTCGTCTACACGCTATAAAATTAGGTCACAAAATTGATTTTGACAATTCAGAAAAACTTCAGAAATAACAAAGAACGTCTGATATCATCAGAAGCACTTCTTATCAAGTGGAATCCAAATTATCTGAATAAGAATGATGGACTAAAACAACCCCCCTCCCACATGAAGTGACAAAATTAACACGATTGTGACTGATAAGCAATTTCGTTATGTAAACACACGCTGCTCTTACAATTTTACACACTTATCAAATCCAACAATCTACACCTGGTTTTGTTACCTTTACCAATTGGCCAATTTGACAACACTAAAATGACCCCATGCTGAGGAACGATGATTAAGTTGTTATATATAAGCTGAGTGGATTTTGTAAATTCTGGTTTAATAATACTTTGATAAAGCTATTAGCAGCATTAAGTAACGAAACGTCAGTAAACACAACAATATCGTTTTGTTTTTCATTCATTGGGAAATACAAAAAACCTTTATTATAAAATACATATATACATATTCCATATGGCATAATAT